TAGAAATTTTATTTTTATCTCAGATATTTTATACAAAGCAAAAAAATTATCATAAAATAGTATACAGTTTTATTGTTATAATACACTATTTTCACCTTTCACAATTTTTTTAATAATAATTTATTTTTGAAGCTTTGTTGCATCTATTTCATTACTTTATCTCCAATCTTCTATACAACTTTTCTGAAAGTTGCATATAATGCAGTAGAAATGAGGAGCAAAGTTTGAAGTTTTCTTCCAATGATAGATTTAACTATTTTTTCTTCACTCTGTAAAAATATTTTATAGCCTCAAACTAAATATGCTTTAACTAAATGAATTTCCCACAATCAAAGCTTACAAAAGCATTTTTTACACTGTTGATACTTGCTTTAGTTAGCAAAAAGATTATCATATCATATATTTGTTTTCCGAATGCTATTCCTATTAATTCAACGATTATAAACACTGAATTTTTTATGCAACTTATTAATAATCGTATAATAAACACGTCATTATCAGTTGTAATATCAGTGCTTACCATCCAAAATTTTCAAGTTAAATGTATTTAACTTTATATATATCAGGCAAATTATTAAATGTATTTAACTGCTTTAAAATTAATCTTAACAAAAGATATGCTTAGATTTATTGCTTTTCATTATTATAGTAATTTGCCTGATATATATTCCCAAACTTATAACATAAAAATGTAAAACTTATTCTAAAAGTTTTTTAAAACGAATATCACCCTCAAGTTACTATTTGGAAAATATCCAGCACCTTAAACAGTAGTCAGATGAATATCACGTGGAATAATACGTGACATCGTACTGGAATATTTTAAAAACCAATAATGGAATTTGAAATTTAAGTTGAGGAAAATATTCATATTTTTTAAGCACAATTACTTGGCTTCAATGATATAGTTGAAAAATTTGTGCAAATGTGAAAAAATATTGCAAACAGTAATGAAGAGCAGTTGTTTATTAAAACTTGTTAATAATTCAAGTCAATTTTTTTCAGATATTTTGGGATTTTTGTTGAAAATCATAACGTTTATTTAACTCTGAAAAATAAGTTTGAAATTTTTCATCAAGCTTTTTCCTGTCAAAAAACCATTTTTTTATTCTTCCATTTCATTTTCCTCACAATAATTTGAAAATACTTATTATGGCTTTCAAATATAAACAAAAATTTGTGTTATCTTTCAGTAAATATCACCATAATAATATTAAACCAAAGAATTAACATAAAATCATAATTGTTAGATCACAAGTATAATTCACTGCCATTTATAAGAAATGATGCAGGTAAGTTTTTTATATGTATAGTCATACTTGTTTAATTTCAGTTGAATAATGCTTTTGCATAATGCAAAGCAAAAATTTTCATGCTAACAAAGTTTTGCGGAATGCTAAACACCTAATCGAATTATTTCTTCTAAATTTTCATCATGAAAAGTAGCTTTTTACAAATAAATGATTTTTTTTCCTATATTATCAACAAAGAAATATTTAATTTAGCACAACTTTTTGCGCTTATCAAGAATAAGCTTTATTACTGCATGTAAGCATAAAGTGATGCAATTAATTTTGCAACATCTTTAATTTCTTTTTCTTTCTGAGTTGAAATTTTGCAAAAATATTACTCTATATTAACTCATCTTTATTTATTACTTGTATTTTTTGTTGCTTAATTTCTGATTTGAAAAAAAAAGAATGTAGAACAGTTAAATTAATTGAATCATTTTCTTTTCGTTGGTTCAGTCAATAACAAACATGTACGAAGTAAAATAATTTTAACATACAAAAAGCAAACTGTGCTACAATAAATAGTCGCTCAAATCATTGTTTTAAAAGATAATTTTTGAGTCATAATGCAAACATATGAGTAAATTATTTCAATTTCCATAAGTTTTGAAAAAAAGAATAAATCAGTCAAATATTTCTTGAAAATTTCCTTTTTTACTGTTCAACAAAGGCATTTGCAATAAGTTTGTGCTGATATTGAGTAAAATAAATTGACAAACATAGAATGTATTATAAATTGCTCAGTATGTTTGCACTGCACATGAAATGCTTGTGACAATCATAGTAATTATTCTTTTTTTAAAAGTGAATTATGCATACTAATAACTTGTATTTTTGATTAAATAAACTAATAAATTTACAGCTTATCACTTGTCTCAGCTAGCTTTTAGACGTACTAAAAGCATCACGTCAAGAATGTGAACGTTTATTGATGGTTTAACGTTTAATAAATATTAGCGTAAAAAAATACAAAAATATGCAAAACAGAAAACATGTAAGTCTAGATCGTTTGCTGCATTCATTGTATGTATGTCCAATAATTGGTACCACTACAAATTATAAATTTTAAAAAGTGTCTTTAGAATGAGTTTTCACTTTGCATTCTTTATTTTGCATTGTGTAATTAAAAAAAAAAGAAAGAAAAAATAATTTACAAAACCTTTGTCTTATTAAAGTGTGCTTTTTGATTTTTACTTACATTCCCATGATTTCGTTTCATTTATTTTTCATTATTGCTTAGGCTAATAATATAGCAGCAGTTCCAATTTTTTGTTCATGATTTTAGTTATTATTTTCTTCTAATTATTATTTTAGTTCACTTTAATTAGTCTAGATAAATTAGTGCTAAAGAGTTTGTTAATAACAAATTATGTTTGCAAGCTTTTTGTTAACTAGCGTTAGTAGTGCAAAAATTAATTGATACTAATAGTGTAAATTACTTTGAGAGCAGAACAGTAAGTGGTCTTTCATTAAGTTTTTTTTTCAAATTGAATATTGAAATCAATTTTGAGAAAATAGAAAAATTAAAAATGACTGATTTTTTTTTCTAAAATTTTGCTTCAAAGCATTTAATATATTTTACTTTCTTTGCTCGTTTTATTTTTTATCAATAAAAGATTCTCATAACTATTCAATGAGATTCTTTTTTTCTAGATTATTTTTTTTGAATTAATTATTTTACTTTCACAAGCTTCAATCTACAATTTTTTTCACCGAGCAAAAAATGTTTACCATTATCTTTATTATCACTTGCAATCATCAAATGATTGGTATATAAGCATATATATTATCGCATTCATTTATGTCTGTTTCCATTATTATTAGTTACATAAGCACAAATATGATTAATGACGTGGTTATTTCAGCATTCATAGAATTTTTGAATGCTTTATGTTCTTCCAAATTGATGCATAGTATTTATGTGAGAACTTTTCTTACTGGCATTCTTATTGGCAGAAATATGTGATACATTTTCTATATAGTTTTGTATATCTAACCTTTTTCAAGAATTCACGAATACTAGATTATCATTAGTACTTCGTGAAACCAGAACAGTTGCTGCTCGAATGAAATGTAAGAAGGACAGAATAGAAAAATTAAGACAAGATATATTCATGCTCTTCATTTTTTCATATGATCGACAAAACGAATTTTCACAAAAAAATATATTCTCTTGAAAAAAATAGCTTCATATCTGCTTTATGTACAATTTTTTAATTATTGCTTGATTAGAAAACAATTATAAACTTTGCTTATTCAATAGATAATTTTTAAATGTTTCATATTGCATATTTATTTATCAACTAATGGAATTAAATTTTTTCGTTTAAAGCTACTCATTCTTAATCAGTAATTGATTAATACAAACAAATAACACTTATTTGAGACAATGATATCAGTTTATCAGTTTATAGAAGAAATCGAGCTTTCGTGTGTTTTACATATATATTTTACTTTGCTCAAAAAGCACTTTTATTATTGTACATTTCATCTATTTTCATCATACATTACTTGCATTCAAAGACTAAATTTTAACTGTGAACTGCAATTTGAAATATCACTGGAAAACTACAAATAATTTGTGTGAAGTATCATAACACCATTGTTGGTGTTAGGTTGTAGATGAGTTGCTAAAAATAATCTAATTATTAAATTAATAAAATTAAAAATTTCTGCTAGTTTGGGACTGAATTTGATATCTAAAAATTATATTACTTCAACCTTGACTGCGATTGTACCTAGACCTCAATCAAACTTTAAGTTTTCAGAAAATTTTTTAACAAAAATATGTATTTTACATGAAAGCGCATTTATGTAAGCTCCATCCACTTGTTTGAAATGTAAATAAAATTTCTGCTCTGAAAATTCTATTTAAATCAAATCATTATGATAAAATTCACGCTTAACGTTATATATTCCTTCGCTTGTCATAATTACAGTTTTTAAAATTTAAATTTAGCAAGAAAAGTATTTAAAATGATAATTTTTTGAGATTAAGTAGTCATATCATTATTTATTGCAATAGCTCACCGCTCCGCTAGCAGCTTATTTAAAAATTGAAAAATTGGAGTGAGTTGCACTATACTACAATCTATTGCTAAAATTCGCTGCATTTGCAGTTTTACTAAATTTGAAATACTTTGGAAACAAAAATAATACTGATGATAATAATTGCTATTTTATGTAATAGATAAAGCTGATTTTATACTTGGTTTGTAATCAGTAAGCTAAGATACTGAAGAACTCTGTTAGTCATAATCAATGGTGCAAAATTGATAAATTTTTAAATTAATTCTGTCACTAGAGTTAATCAGATCGATTTTCTGCAACTTCATCAAAAAGAGTTGAAGTTTTTCAAGACGGTTTTGTTAGGAAGCAAACTAATTCTGATTATGTGCATTAGTCAATTGTTTGATAATACAGTTTTCTACAAAAAAGTTCAGTCAACTGAAGTTAAAGACATATTTTAAATAATTAGGTGATTTGATTGCAGTACTGTAAGCAAACAAAAATGCTTCATCAAATACAGCACAGTATTATTTAGAAAGTCATGAATCTGCTGTTGATGTTAGAATAAATATTTTCCAAGTAAAACCATGATCAGTAATAAACTATTTATGCTCATTTTTTGAATGAAATGTTTGCATTAAATCTTAGACGGACTTTATCACTAATTTTAACATTTTCTTACAGATTCACTTATCGAAAATGTTCAATAACTTCTTCGACAATTTGACATTTTTAAAATGTCTTTCTGTTAGCGCTTTTGTCACCACAGTTTCACTTTTTTTCTGTGGAATGTGAGTTAACTTTGTAATTTTACATCTAAAAAAAATTCCTGAAATATAAATTTATATAAAAATCGTTTTTTAAAATAAAGTAAGCTAAATTTTGTATTTGTTGCATTTCAGTCCAATTTGTGTTAATATTTGGAAAAGGCGAAGTACAGTCGACATAAGCGCAGTACCATTTTTAATGGGTGTGCTTGGGTAAGTGATTCTTTTTATTTTCAGTTTCCTATTCTCATAAATTATTAAAAATTTTTCATCTATTGCTTTCTATTTCAGAAATCTTTTGTTCTTCATTTTTGTTTGTATCAAAAGTTAATGGAGCATTTTAGAGCAGTATATTGGTTACGTTATGGAATAATGAAAATAGATTACACAATGATATCTGTGAATATTTTCGCAGCTTCACTGATGAGTATATATCTTATTTTCTATCATTTCATGTCTGAAAAAAAGGTAAAGTTACAATTTTCAAGAAGCTGCAATTTTTAAAGCAATAAAAGAAACAAATCAAATACGAAAAATAATATAAATCTTTTTATTATGTAATAAACTTAAATATGTTTCATTCAGTTATGGATCTCAATTGAAATTTGTGCCGTTATATTTCTTATATCATTAATGCTGTTTTTGGTTCAAATATACGGGAAAGATATTTTCCATCCTCTTGGTTTTACTTGTATGACATTTAATATCATAAATTTTGGTGCACCGTTAGCTGGCCTTGTAAGTATATTATATTTTATTTTATTATTTTTTATCAGGCTAAATTTAATTTTCATTATGTCAGAAACGAATTCACTTTTCTTCTAACTCTACTGAATTTTAGAAAGTGGTTTTACGACAACGTAGTTGTGATACATTACCGTTACCAATGTGTATAGCCAATCTTCTTGTTTCAAGTCAATGGGCTTTATATGGCATACTCGTATCTGATGTCTACATTATTGTTAGTTCTACGCTTACTTAAATAAAATTTTACTAAATTTAAAGCCAAAATGAAATTAATACTTTATATTAGAATAGAAGTTCAAGATTGATAAAATTTTAAAAATAAAATATCGTAAAAATGTGTGGCAAAACTTTTTTGCTAATTTACTAGAGAACTATAGTTTGAAATTTAAATTCATGAATCCTTATTATTTTTATTCTTCCAATATTATTGCATTAAAAATTTGCATTTTAAATAAATGAGTTATTTTTTAAAATATAGACACCAAATTCAATTGGTGTGATATTAGCACTTATCCAAGTGTCTTTGTTTTTAATATTCCCAATGAAACAAGGACATCTTTCACCATTCCAACGTTGCTTTGGTGATTCATGCTGTGCTATAGAAGCTCCCGTTTCTCCTTCTGATGACACTGGTATTTATTCTCAATGTGAACTCATTCTAAGTCACATATTATAAATATTGACGAAACAAAATTTTCTTATTATTAGACTGCTTTTCTTACCTTCAAGTACTTAGTGATTTCTTGCTTAGATCAAATGCAGCAAATTTTTTTCGATCGTTTCATTTATCCTCCCAATATTTCTATATTTTTTGCTACTAGGTAAATTATAAAAATTAAAAGTTCAAAAAAAACTAATCGAAAATAGATATACTTTTATGGCAAATTTTATTCAATTTCTTGAAATTTCAAAAACAGTCCAAATGTATTATGTGAAAAAATTTTTGATACTATCATTTAAAAAAAGAGCGCAAATTGTTAATTTCATTTATTGCTTTCATCATATTATATAATCTGTTAACAAAAAATTAAGTTCTTGCCAAAATTGTCTGTTAAAAGTAAGCAATACAAAAGTTTTTCTAGTTATGTCTAAAATATGAATGAGCTTTAGAAACTCATACTTTACTTGTATCATATTTTTCAACTTTAATATTTTTAAATAAGGTTAATTAAATCAATTTAAAAAGATATTAAATAATTGTTTCATTAAAATTTTTCATTATCAATGCTTGAAAGCATGAGGTGCTCAAGATTTGTTTGTTAAATAGAATAATAACATAATGATAACTACTTATAGAAAGATAATCAGTAAAAGCCAAAATATTATTACTTTTTCTTTACACAAATTCGTTATCATAAGATAGATGAATGATTCTGTAAAATATGGGATTACTGATATTATTACGTGTCATCATAGATTTACTTTTTACATGAAGTTTCAAGCTAGAAATTTATTTCACTTGTTTTAGAAAAAGGGAAAAAAGCACTGGAAAAGAACCCACTAATAAACGGTAACACAGAATTAATCCATATCCCAGGTGATTCTTTTAAGACTATCATTCACATTATCTATTTAAAAGTTCATATTTATCACATTAACTAAATCAATTTCAATTTGTAAAATTAAAATTATATTTGTGATACTTAATACGCTAAAATCTGTCAATGATTATACTTTTTTGAATGAATAATCTAGAAATATTTTTATTATTCATTTATTACTTTTTAGGTCTCGATCAAAAACTCTTAAGTACGTTCTTTATTTGTTTTTGCACATTTTTGTTTTTCCTTCCTTCGACTTTGTGTCAGATGTAAAAACTTTTTGCAGACATGATATTTTCTTACCCATAAATACATTTTTCATGCTTTCATTTAGTGTTTTGCTCGCCTTTACATTATAGTAACAATTAAAATTATTCCAATTTAATAAGTATTTTAGATCTTAAAATTCAAATATTTTATCATTTGTAATTTCTAATTTCATAAAATTTAATCTTAAAAGGATTAAACAGTTTTAGGCAAATTCTAAAAATGAAATTTTTTCAATTTTAGAAAAAGTGCCAACTGTCATTGTAGCATTTTAAATTATGCTTGTATGCATGCATTCATCTTAGCATGATGCTTAGGATTTTCAGTTGATGATGAAACAAAGCCACGAAAACCTTGGGTTAGTGATGTAATTAAAAAGACCGAATTAATGGACCCAAAGTTATGCAAAATTGAAAAGTACAGTCTTTTTATCATTTTGCTAATTTCAAAATTGAAATTTTTTATAAGGCTAAAATTTTAAAATAATACAACTAGCTTCATTGTTTTTTCAAATTAATTTTATGCTCATTCATTTTGTAGACGATTGTAGTTGTATCAGTAATCTACTTCAAGTCCATTTAGTCACTTCATAATTCTTTGTTTATTATTTTTTAAATTACATTTGTTTTATATTTTATATTTCAGTGAGGAGGAGCAAGATGGTGAGATCAACTAAAAAGAGTTGAGTTGTGCATTTTTACAAGTTTGGAAGAGTCTATTGTACATTAATTTCCATTAAATTATTACATTAATATGTAAAATTATGATCAATTTAACGTATTAAATTGTCTCCTATACTGCTGTAGTTAATTAGTAATTTGTATAATGCTTTTGGATAATGAAGGCAGAATCATTTTACTATATCATTTGAAATTAATGCACAATGCTATAATAAGCATTGCTATTAAATAACTTTTTGGTTCAATTTATTATTATTCGAATACAGTTATACTTTTGTACATAGAATCACGAATCAATTAAGGGAGAAAGTTTCGAAGTTTAAAAAAAACAGTTATCAAAGATTCAGCTTTGCATTGAGCCAAAGTGACTAGAAGAAATACAAAAATATCATATTTGATAGACCAGAAAAAACTTTGAATAAGTTTGCGATTTTTTTGAATGAAGGCAGTGTTGCACAAATATAATAGAGCTTGCTCATTTTCTTTTTCAGTCTTCTCTAGCTTATTTTCAAAAATTTTTGCTGATATTGCGCAGGAAAATCTAACCTTAATTATTTATTGTGCAGCCTTCAAAAATCATGATCACTGCCAAATATCATTTTGTTGATGTGGAGATTCGTAAAATTATATACGATGCTTTTTGCTTATTACTAACTGAGTATAATTTTCGCATCATAAAACTGGTAGAAATGTTGCGTGATGCGGTTGTTCTCGCGTTTTATTATTCATCTGTTCATCGCTTTTTTTAGAGTTATTTTGTTTTCAAACTGTGAATAGTAATGAATGGTAGTGATACTGCACAGTTTAAGGTCACCAACTTTTCCAAATTTAATTCACATTTCTAAACTGCTAAGAAACTTCATTTGAAAACAATTCGACAGCCATAAGAGTATCAGAAAGGCCGGTTTGTTAGTTCTGCAAAGCACATGTACATTTGTTTTGTTGTATATTTCAATATTGTTTTGGTTGCCTTATCAATCTTCATATTGCTTTCTTAATTTTGATTACTTATATTTCTTCAAAACAAATTTCTTGTACAAAAACTTTTATTTTTTAGTGCTTTTGAAAATTTACTTAATTTAAGTATTCTTAGAAATTTGTTTTGTCCATTTCTTGCATTTACTATACTGCTTGCTCTTCAAAATATTAATATCTTAATCTTCTACACTTTTTTTATTAAGTGTATTTTATGTTAATTTTATGAGGAGTTTGTGCTTTATGAAGCATTACGGGAATTAACATTATATCCACTTTTACTTATTCCAATACAACTATTTATCTATTTCTTAAATTAAATTAGTATTATTGATTTCTAGTTTTTCACATGAAAAACCAAACAGACATCTTTATTTTGAAGCAACTATTGTGATTTTATTGAGATTCATACAATTGAAATACCAAAAAACAGAAAATGCCTCACTCTGTTTACAATATTTGCAAAAATATCAGCTAACGGTTTTTGCATGTAACTTTGATCAAACATGACTTTTGTTCATTTTTTGTACTGTTTTAAAGTGTGCATCATTATTTAACTATTCTACAGTGCTTGTATCAAATAGAGACTTACAGAATGAAAACTCAAAATTCATTTCTTGCATTGAAAAATTAGAACTTTATTGCAGAAATTTTAAATATGCTATTTGCTACATTGTATTTATTGACTTTACACTGTTTGAAATAATCATAATCATTATTTATGTTTTTGAAAGCAATGTTTATAAACTTTTAATCCGGGTTTGCAGTATCCTTTATTCAAATTCATATAACTTATAAAATTTTTAAATCATTTCATAGTAGCAAACATAGTGTGGAAAATGCATTGTTGACAAGTGCTAAAATAGCTTTCTAATCTCAATGTCATAAGCAATAATACATTTGGGGATAAATTTCTAATAATTTAGAAAAAATTTGTGCAGTTTTTTACTACGAAAAATTCTGCTCAGTTCCACATATGCAGTATAACAAGCTAATACTTTTAATGAAACTAATAAATCTCGCATTACTTCGGATAAGAATGCATCTAAATAGAATGAAATGCAAAATTTTTAACTCTCAGTCTATGTCCACATAAAACTGCATTAACTTATGCACAAATTACACGGAATACCTGAGAATGGACAGATATTTATGTGATAAAAATTGGAAAAATTATGAAGCATATCTGTCAAGCAAACTTTCTTATAAGGATTGCAAGGAATATTTTCATAAATTAGACGAGAATAAAGTATAATAAAGGTAAGATTTTTTTTAATCAAAATTGAATGGAGCATTCTAAATGATTCTATTCCGATAGTGATCAAAAAAATCTGCAAATCCTCCTCATAAATGTTTGAAGTGTAAAATTTTCTTTTCAATCTAGCATTCAATAAACTCGGTTTATAAACCAACATAAATTTCTTGTTAAAAAAATATGGAGGAAGAGATAAAGTTTTCGTGTTTAGGAAATTACATTGAGCTTACCATTAATATTTATTTCAAAACTTCAACTTCTTGAAAAATTTACATGAAGGTAAAAGTTACGAAGAATAACTAATCACAGTTATTGTAATGACTTTTAAAAGGCCACAATTGGTTCAGATTTGGAGCGTGATACCAAAACCAATTTTTTTATATCACCTTTTAATCTAGTTGAAAGTTCTCGACACAAGATTTTTGGCTTTCCTTCATGTACAAACAATGGAGATTCAAAGTTTGTACTGGTTTCTGATGCTTTTTTCTCAGTCTTTGTTATCACCGATATATTCAATGAATCTGCCGTGTCATTCAACACGTCTGTATAAGCAAATCTATAATACAAAGATTAGTTGTTTCAAACTGTTCACTTTCATCACTTCTGAAATTTTGAATTATTATTTAAATTATTGACCTTGTAATAAATTTTTTCTGATTTATCGACTGGCTATGAACATACTGAAAAAAAAGGATTCAAAAGTCCTAAATTGCATTACTTAAACGTACTGATCTTTAATGATACACTTTTGAAAAACATTCTCAATTTCTTCCGTGGCATTCGCAATTGCACGATTTGACCAACAATATTTTGCAGATATATTTTCAGGTATTGCTTTTGCTGCAAAATTTTTTGCTTTTCTATTTGAATAAAATTCAGATTGTTAAGCTTTACTATATTCTATAATACATCAAAAAAAATACCTCACCTCCTTACTAACACACTTACCAAAATCTGCATCAATGGAGCTGCTATCGGCTTTGACATAAAATGGCGTAATGTATTTAAAAAACTTTGCTAAGGGAGTTTGGATGCCTGTTTTATGTGGTAAAATCAAAAAAAGGGTAAGCTGTCCTAGTGCTAAAGTTGAACCAATTCCATTTGGTAACTGAAACTTATTTTAATTTACAAATACTTAATTTAAAAATTTCAAGCTTAGAAAATTTTTACGTTAAAGCAAGTCATATCTGTGTTGTTTTATCAGCTTCTTTACTACTTTGACACAAGTTTGAATTCAGTGGTTTGATAAATCTGTTCTTCATTTTATAAGGCTTATTAGAACATACAATTAAATAAAAATCCATTTTCAGTAACCCATAAACGAACCATTCCGTTGACACCAAAAAATTGGCAATGCATAACGGTAATGGCAAAGTTTGTGTAGAATGGTTTCTGATTACATATTTCTGAAAATTGATAATTTTCTGTTCATAATCCTTATTTATTTATATTATTTGATCACTAGTTAACTCATTTTAGAAATTAAATCTCCGAGCGTTTCGTAGTGCTTTTCTTGAGTGAATTTTCATTAGTCTAAAAGATAGTAACTGTTAGTCTGTTGATTAACTGATCAGCTAAAAAAAAATTGAATATTTTCACACTGAACAACGAAAGAAATCTCAACATTAATGACAAATGCATTTTTACATAAAAGAGCATAAATTATGTTAGTCTAATGTTAACTATATCAAATATTGTTTTTGAGAATTCTTACAGGAATAAAGTTGGATAATATGGATGCTAGATAAGTTTTTTAAGTTATGACAAGGTTTACACAAAACCATTTATTTGAGTACAGAGGGGAAGGCATATATAATGATTTATTGCTTGGCATCTCGATGAATAATTAAATGCTTTTGGCAAATGGCAAATTATTTGTGAAAACAAAGTTAAATACATTTGTAAATGTATTAGTAATAATTGAATACAAACTGCTCTGCTCATCATTGGATTTGTAAAATTGCATTAAACTCCACATCGAAAATAAAATGACAGTGATATGCATAACAAAATTAGTTATTTTACGCTTCTAACTGGTAACAATTTGCAATAAGTCTCAATAATTTTTTTGGAACAGTTGGTGAAAACAAATTCTTTGCTTTCTAACTCGAAATAGCAAAGTTGTTCATGAGATTTAGTGCATTAGATGTTGATGACATCATTAAAATTAATAATAACTGTACTAACAAATTAATCTAATGCAGTAAATTAAAGAGCGAAATAAATAATTATACTACTTAGTCAAGTTTATTCGATTTGTTTTTTATTTCTGGTAATTTGTTATGAAAAATTTGCAATTTGATAAGAACTAAAGTAACTTGCTAATTAGCTATTTAAAAATACAACGTTCTTGATTAGATATAGCAATAACATGTATGTTCATTTTTAAAAGTTTATTTAGCATTAAAAAGCGTTCAATGCTTATTCCCTTACTTATTCTTAAAAAAAGTTTCATTTAACTACATGAACAACACAACATAAAGTGGAAAAATTAAAAAAAGATAGAAGAAGCACTTGAATATCATTAATATATTTTGGATAATGCAATTTGAATTTTGCATTATCCTTTGGATAAAATGTATGAATGATATACAAGATGGAATTTTTAATTATATTTGTAGTGTTCACGGAATTTGCAAGGAAATGCATATCATAGATCAAATATTGAATTGTTTAGTATTCCTAAAATTTCGGTTTTATCTAAAGTTAAAAGTGTAGTGTTTTTTACATTTACATTCTGTGAGAGTAATTAATTCATAATGAGGGCAAAAGAAATACTTACAATGCCTGCAAGCGGTGCTGCAAAGTCAGCCACATTCAAGAAAATACAAGTAATGCCTAGTGGATGACGAATTTTTTGGCCAAAATATTAAACGAATGTATAGAGCAAGGAGCAAACAATGGCTGGTGGCATTATTTTTAAGGTATACTTGAACTGTAAAGTGACTGAATTAAATAAGCTAATGTCAAAATGGTTTTTAAGATCTGTTTTGTGAATTTTATCAAAGTAACAAAACGATTTTCATTGAGGAATTAGGATTATGTTTTTCTGAAGTTTTCGTTATTTTGATGAAAATTTTTCTGTTACAACTAGTATCATAAAAACAGATACAAAATAAAAAAGATCAAAGTTGTTTTCTTCTTGTTTTAATCTCTCATATAACTATGGTTCATAATTTTCATTAATTTAGAACCTAAACTTAGCATTGCTATGGTGGCATTTCCTCGTTATTTTAATTATAGATATTATTATTTTTCAGATTTCTCCATGCTTATAAATGTTGTACCAATAAACCGCATGTAAATTTATTTGTTTTGGATGAATACTGTAATAATTTTAAAAGAAAACGGTTTTATTCACTTTTAAAGAAAAGATTCGTTTATTTAATGAAAAAAATGAGTAAAAAAGTACTTTGTTTTTAGACATAATCCAGTAGAAAATGAGATAAGAAGTGTACAAAACAACTTGAACACTAGTAACACAAATAACAGTCTGATCATTCTTGACATATCCGTAAGCCCACCAGCATGACCCTCTGAAAAATTTTTCTTTCTTAATCATGAATCTACAGTAAACTTAACAAATGCATTATAATTGGTCTTCAGTTTCATTTTGAGTAAGCTATGCCAATTTAAAGTTTCTGGTTTTTTCATTAAACGATATATAAGAATTTAAAAAAAAAAATCATCCCTAAAAATTCATATATCATTCAAAAAACGAAATGCTAAACTATTTAAAGTTCATAACTAACCCAACAACACCCATTATGAAAGGCACACCACTAATTTCTTTTGTATCTTGGTGTTTCCATATCTGTCGACATATCGGTCTATAATATTAAAATATTAATGCAATAAAATAAACTCATTAATATGCGTTTTCTTTTCTTTTTAATTTGGATCATTGTCCATTTTATTGGTTGATAGCTAGCAAAGCATTATTAGAAGGGTGTAAAAATGTTCATTTATTTCTTGAGTACTGATAACTTTGCGCAACATTTACAATATTTCATTGTACTTAAAATCAAGTGCAATGGATGTTTCTTGAATTATTCAAATCATAATAATGAGATAACTTACAAGCCACACAAGAAAAGACCACCTGTAGTAAACAGTGCCAAGAATGAGATCAAATTAAGTAAATTAATGCCTTTAATAAAAATTTCCAACATTACCACTGCTGTAAATCGTTTTCTCACTTTAATCATGGAAGAAATAGTTTCATATTTTATATTGTATTAATTCGATAGAAACCATTGGCAGTTTTCAGATTAGTACTGTTTATTTTCTGATAGTGAATTTGAATAGAATTTTATTGTGTTTATTATTGGACTTTATTTTGTATGTCACTGTGTGGTTTATAGTATTTGAAAAATTATGGGCAAACTTAATATTATTACTTATATCGGATATAAATTTCTGTGAAATGTCACATTAAATCGAGAAATCAAAAATTAAAATTTTAAGCCATGAAAAAAAAGAGATGAGAGATAGTTTAAAAATTATTCTAAAAGTTAGTGGTTAAAAGTAAGATATTTAATCACATATTTCTTCAAAATATATTTCACGATACAGTTTTTCGCAGTTCTCTTAATAATACCTATTGTAAAGGTTATTATTTTTTGCCCCTTTTGTAATCAGCTTAATGCGAAAATTTTTCTCAAAAATGTAGTTTTCTATTTCGAGAAAGAGGCATGCAAAATCCTGTTGTTTGCTACTTTAATTTAACCTTTAGCAATGTTAGTAAGTATTATTGATTCAGTGAATTTTCGTTCTTTCTTTCCATTAATAAAATTCAGAGGATTTTCTCACATCTCATATTTCTTAACTGAAGAGTACCAGTGCATCTACGACGATTCGTTCCAGAATAAATAAATTTAATACCGAAATACCTCTGCTCACATACACTTTCCACTCATCTTTTAGCAATATTCCATGCTAAAAAATTATCCATGATAATTAATTATAAACAAACATTCTTAGCATAATTTCTTTCAAATCATAGTTTTATATCGCAAAGTTTACTTTCTTTACTTATTCATGTAGCAAAAAATTTTAAGAAATTGTTTTTTAGCCCTTAGTAATCATCAATTAACAAAGTTAAAATTTTAGCTTTATAAAAATGCATAAAAACATATTTGATTTTTTATATGAGATGTAAACAAAAAAACATATGCAATTTAAGTTCAAAAAGAAGAAACGAATGATTGAAGCAAACAGTTATTGCAATTTTTCGTCGATGTAACTAGCGACTACTTATTTTCTTTAATTTGCATCTGTAATTTACAAACATAACAGATTGCCAATTTAAATAAAGTTTTAAATTAATGATTACAATGAAAAAAACTTAAGTGTTCAGCCACGTAATGAAAAACAATGCACAAATGCAAAATTTCAGCATTACTTTTATTCATTCATTTATTTTGTATCAGAGAGAAATGAAAATTCACCACAGCTCTTCTATTTTTTACTGCATGGCTAACAATAGTGACAAAATTTTGAATCACCAGTAACAGAATAAACAATAAATATATCAAAACATTTTGATTCAAGCAATTAGTTCTTAAAGAATATAGTACGGTCAGAATCTTTCCAGTTGCTTATGAATTTTGTATGAGAAGTAAAAATAGGACAAAATAATGATCTATACTTTTAGAGTGGAATATTTGTCAAAATTATTCAAAATAAAATATTTATTAAAAATCGTAAATTTATTGCCAAAAAGTTGAAAACCGATAACCATGTCGCATGCCCAATTATGAAGTGTAATAATAAACATTGTTCAGATATGAAAAAAGGAGTAAAGATTAATTGAACCAACAACAAGAATCCATCGATGTCTCATGATAATGAAAGATCGAGCGGTTATAGGTTAGAAAATGATTGAATAATTATCAACTACATGTGATAGAATGGCGGTTCTTGATGAGATCACATCAATGTAGTAAAAGTGAAATTTGCTTGTAATATGCTTTTAAAATGTGGCATAAATCTGTATTTATTGGTTGAAGTTATTAGTTTCATATTAAAACTATTTGGTTCAAGAGATCAGTCTGCAGTCTTGTGCAAGGAATAACCATGTGACTTAAAATGAAAATAAATAAAACAACTAGAAGAAATGATAGACGAATGAAACTTGCATGTGTGCTTCGCACCTCTCATTTTCATTCATTAAATTAACACTTAGCAATAAACTTGATTTGATTCAATGGAATATTTGGACAGAACTTTGAAATTGATTTTAAGAATTTAAATTTTTTCATACCAATGGCATTCAGAAATGACCAAATACAAAAAAAAATGATTGATTTTATCGCTATTACCAATTTGTGAAACGCCTTAGTTTCTTGTGACTACAAGTATATGTATTTTTTTAGACTATCAAATCCTTCCACTACGTGATATTTAACAGTGCTAGCTTTTCAACGAAAACTTTCACTGAAAAATGTTTTAAATGATTAGAATGCCTTGAACAGTTCAACTTTCAATGATCAGCGACTAATTGAAAGTTAGAAAATCTGTTAGCCATCATCCGCAGTTATTAAGTGAATAACTTTTAACGGTTTTTAATAGTTTTCTGTATACCAAGTTATTGATAGCATCTGTATCGCAGAAGAAAATGGTAAACTAACTATTCTCCAATTTTCAACGACTCGACTCTATTTTCTTGCTTTGAGTAATGAAGCAGTGACTGTTTTTTAAGAGCAAATACATAAATCATTTCTTGATGATCTGTTTCATCTGTTCTGCGTTACTACGTCGATATTTACAAACACTATATAAGGAACATATCAGAAGTGAATTTTCATAATTTGATGTTACAATTACACATCACTGCTAACTGTTTACTTCAAAAGAATTAATCATCACTTTTAATTACCACAAGTTCTGAAACAATTGATCACTGAATACAACGTTGATGAAGAAGCAATATGTTATAGAGTTGCAAGCATCATGATAAAATTAATTTATAGCATATTATATTTTTTAAAAGTTTGCTCAATCTTCAAGTTTTTTTAGGTTGAAAACTGGTTATATTTAGTAAATTCATTTATGTTTTATGACATCAATATATTTCAGGTTTCAAAGTATGGGTAGTAAAATCTTCATAGCGTTGGTTGAACTGTTGCTGAAGCTTTATAAAATGAAAAAAACTTTACATTTACAAAGTTTAACCAGATTATGTAACAAAACCAAATTTTTGAATTCAAAAGAAGTAAAATGAGTACAAAGATATTAGACTAGTTAAGCTTACCATCAAATAATTAAACTAAATACAAGCCATAAGTTGTTGATATTTGTAGTATTCATCATTTGTGCTCAAAAAAAAAAGAAGAAAAAAAATCAACAAAAAAAAATCATGATAAATCAATATCAATTTCTGGTTAAAGAATCAGTTTTACAACGTTCAATTACATATCAACAAACTTATTATTGACATGATAGAAAAGTGCACGAAATAATGTAAGTCGTCTCAGATATATAAGTCTAGGAACATAATTTTGCTAAAATGTTTTATATGTAACTCGTTAAATTGCCATTTCATGAGAACACCAGCTGGCACTTTATTAAATAGCCTTAAAATAGTTACTGTTGGTTAATAACGAACGGAATTCAAATTTATACTATTGTGTGTTAGATTCAAAAACTGTCGTTTAATCGATCAGTATATTATACAGAGATTAAATTTTGACAGAAAGTGTTAGTTTTAATAGTGTGATCTCGTGTTGACCAGATAAACTTCATCCATTTGTAATTAACTTGTAGTAATTACAACAAGAGTATGAGAAAAATTATCCTTTTGATAATATGGTCTTCATATTATTTTCAATAATATTTAAATTGAAAGCAGACTAGATAGTTGAGAAATGATTAGTCGTAAACTAAATACTAAATCAAGAAATAAACTACTGCAAGTAGTCATTATCATAAACATCAATTTCCCTTTCCTTTGAGTCATATTCTCTATTATAAACGCGATTTGCACAAAGTAAAAAGTAGTTGAATGGATAAATCATTTGGTAATGGATTTTTATTCATAACCATGTTTTCTTCTTTGATGAAAAATTAAATAACTGCATTGAAGAACAGTAATCTTGCAACTGAGACATAAATGTTCTGTTTCAACAATTTTATTTTTATTCCTCAACGTAATTAATTGTTTTATGAAAAAAGCACTACAAAATAATTGCTGTTAAGTGGGTTCTTGAATTTTCTCGTCAAAAACATGAATTCTTTTTTTTCTGAGGGTCATAACCGGCTTCACTTTTTCATTTTTTTTAAATTATAAATTATTTGTTTCTTATTTTGATTTATTCGCAAAAGATTTTGAAGGTGTTATAGGGGGTTTGTAGTGTGAAGCATGTACATTATACTTGAAGCAACTATAAACCAAATTTGATTGGCTTTCAGTATTTCAAATATATACTTATATTTTAAAGTGAAAAGGAAAAGTAGAAAATTTGTTATTCTTTAACATTCATTACTTGGTGATGATTAAATATGGAACCAAGAATGTACTTAATTTGCAGAAAAATAACTGTAAAGAGAAGGAAAATTCATCGTTTGCAATTAACTCAGGTATTCATTGTTCTAATTACTTTTATGTCATTATGTATGCTTAAAAGTAAGAGTTTTTTTTTTTTTTTTTTTTTTTTT